TAAAAGCTATAATTAAATCCATGCATGGATATATATCAATGTTCAAGCAGCAGCAGCTAAGCATGATCAAGCATGGTTATTTTAAATGGCTAAGCATCTAAAGGAAGGTAACGTATAACAATATCACTTTACATGTATCTTAAAAGTGGGGAAAATTTAATTAAATGATATACCTCTAGTGAGTCTTCATCTGAATCAACTAATTTTCTTTTTCGGAAACAGCTAAACACAGGACTTGCCTAAACAACAAAAAAGTACAATGTTTCAATACAGATATTTTGACAAGGGTATCAAACAGGTAACAATTCAAAAATGCTAGACAGAAACTGAACAAGGTAGCAAATTATATACAAATTTTTCAGGTGTGAGGCTCAAAAGCTGCATCATAAGCACAAACTTCAATTACAATAGCAATACTTTAAGAAATTCAAAATCTTTTCTCACTGGTTGATCCTCAAAGTTGAATGGGGATGGTGGCTGTGTACTGCTTGAGGAATTATCAGAGTTGGAGAACCTGAATGGGGATGGTGGCTGTGTACTGCTTGATGAATTGTCGGAGTCGGAGAAGAGATCAGAACTTGGATTAAAATTCCTAATATTTGAAAAAAAAATGTTTTCCTTTCAAAACATTATACAAGGAATATCCACATTATCAGGAGAAAAAAAAATATAGCGCAATCTTGCATCAATTATAATGTAATAAAGAAATCACTTAATTAAATTCTCCCCCCCCCCCTGGGTTCTAGACAAAACCTTTACTTAAAAAGAGAACACTACCAAGTCTCTAAAAATTAAATTACTAAACTAATGTAAAATATGTCTGCTGAATTTCTAAATTAAATCCAAATTATTAAATTCTGCTTTAAAAAATACCTAACCGAATTTCCTCTATCTTAATAAATATTGCAATAGACAACAACGGGAGGTAACTCTTCCATATAACAATGTTCATGTAACTTTCGCTGCTTTGCGCAGCAACATACAATGCTAAGTCAAAAGAAATTAAGTATGTTATATATTGTTTAAATTAATCATATGGTGCCATTTAGTGCGTCTCTATGCTAAACAAGCTTTTTACGCCAGTGCCACATTGGAGAATTTCAGCAACTGAAAACTTACATTAGTTTGCATGCCTCGTGGGGAAACAGTTCAAAATGGGTTCTTCTCGCTTTGCTGAAAATTTTGGTGTATCGTGTGCAAAGGTCACTCTTCTGAATAGGAGGAAAAAAAGCCATCCATCACATGGTACCGTATTTACCGACTTCAACACGACCTCCATTTTTTTTAAGTCCCGCATTTATAGGTCATTTTCATATTTAGATTATTCTTCGCTATCGCCGTTTCATATTTAAACAAATATTTTTAATCGTCTATTAATTATTATTGTGCTAATTTATCATAAATATATCAATTATTATTCACAATTTTCTCCTCGATAGCCAATTCCTAGATGTACTATTTACACTATGACTTCATTGAGAGGGATAATAAGCGAGATCGTCTGTTATCGTTAGTATTACAGCCATAACATGCATAAGACATGAAACTTCTCTCCGTTTCCAATGACGCATGGAAGCCGCCATTGCAACTTGGTGTAAACTACGCTTGAAAAAATAATCCGGATTTAATCGGATTGAAAATAATAAACCGTTACTTGCCGCTCTAAAAAATAAATAGAACGATTGTTATTTTTCTTTATTTTAATCAATAAACTTATACACAACATTCAGTTTCATTTTTTTGAAAACCAAATTACTCGCGCAAGCCAATTTTCCAGATTTTGGAAAAAGTTTGGAAAGCCTGTGGCAGTGGCGTTATTCGTAGGGCACGAAAGTAGTCCCGGAGAATCGACACTGTATGGAGTTTGCGATGATATGGAGTTATATAACGTAACGTAATACTGAGCTGTCTGGAGCTTGCTCGCGAGAACCTAGAGAGTCTGTTCATCTGCCCTTGTGACACATTTTATTTTTTAGGATTTAGCATATTCAAATTACAATGAAGCGCATTGAAGTGGTAAAATTTTCCGTTTGGACAAAACGTTCTGAGTCATGTTTTGAACGTCAATTACAACATATTGACCCGCCCATATTTTTAGAAAGGAGAATGAAATATTCGTCGTAATGTTTAGGACACTCCAATCTTCGCGACAAGCAAAATGAGTTACACCGAAATGGAGCTTTAAAAAAAATAAGAAGAGAGAGTTAGAGACTCTCCGCTTCTGTAAAACACAAATTGAAACAAATATGTACATGTTTTTTAACTTATCATGTCTATTGAAGTTACCACAACACATGGTTCTGTCGAACACGTGTTTACTCGGTATTTATTATTAAAGACCGTCAATTTTATTGGCTATTATATTTATGGAAAACCTGTTCTACAGGTATTCAAATAAACAAATTGACCGTTTTATCCATTTCTAAAAAAAATGGGCGTGTCATAAACGTTCTAAAGATAGCTCAAAACGTTCCATTCGAACGGAAAATTTTACCACTTCAATGCGCTTCATTGTAGGTTAAAAAACTATGCTGGACCAAATAATAATTATTTGCCGTTAGAAGTATTTTTTTCTATAAATCGGACCAGACTATCATATGCGAAGTAAATAATATACGAACGATGCATAATTATTATTCTATTTTACAATATTAGATTTAAGAGAATTTAAGATTATTTACATCAAATTAATTTTTAAGGTAAAGTTTAGTACATTATGAGACATTTTGTTGCTGAAAACAAAGAGAAATTTTTTTTTTACATATTTTGAAATTACAGTCCGTTAGATACATGTAGAACGTTAAATAGTTCCCTTTATTACATTTTTACCCGTGAAATACTGTAATTTATTCATTGAATAAAAATGATATCCTGTCACAGTGTGAAAGGATATCAAAATGATATCCTGTCACAGTGTGACAAATATCAGAAGTGCGGGAAAACTCTCGATTTCCCTTCCCATAACGAAGATTGCTGTAACAAAATCTTCTTTGACCTAATATAAGATAGATGGAAATAAATAAACCATTCTGACAGCGTGTAAAAATTACCAAAAATATGTTGCTAAATCCATGTTTACAGTGTTTTACCTCACTTAGCTATGACGTCTCAACCGCTCAATTATGACGTCACGAGCCTATGACTGTATTACAAAAAGACAGAGGCAAAGGAAAAATCAAAGATTTTTTTTAAAAATGTAATAAACAGAAAATTCAATGTTTTGTAGTTGAATATGGAATTTATTTCATGAGTGGGACAGGATTTTTTGATATTTTCACTCGTGCTTCGCACTCGTGAAAATATCAAAAATCCTGTCCCACTCGTGAAATAAATTCCATATTCAACTACAAAACATTGAATATCCTCTATATATTTTGTTAATTGGAAGTTCAGTTGTTCATAGAGACGGATTTGTCTGTACGAAAGACAGAAAAGTATATCTTTTTTTTGGGGGGGGGGGTTAGGGGTATTCAGTTTTCAAAGGATTTAAAATACAGTTAACACAATATTTTGGGATTGTAGATTATGTTATATTTAGAGTACGAGTTTCCTACTGTATCAGAGATACAGGGCGGGGCTTGAGGCGAGAGCGATAGCTTGAGGCGAGAGCGATAGCTCGAGCCGGGCCCCGCCCTGTATCTCTGATACAGTAGGAAACGAGTATTCTAAATGACTTGTGACATAACCTTTCTAATGACCTCACCAATTTACATTCATATTTGAGTACATATCTCTCAACCAATCAGATGATTTTAGCAGAAAGTTGATTTAGTATCCCATTTTAAGCATTCGCAACTGAAATGCCGAGAGAGGTGGACGTGCAGGTATTTATAATTTTTAAATAATTATTTAGTAATGCATTATATAATTGGTTTTCAAAAAAAAAAAAATTAAATTTGATTGCGTAGGTTCTTTTCTCTATTCAGCTGTTGCCGACTTCTTCTTTTTTTAAAAATTTAAGCTACGATTAAATGCAAAACATTTTATATATAAGAATCATGTGGAAATGTTTTTGAAACAAAAATACTTCGGTGAAAACGTATTCCGAGAGATATGTCCGCAATGTCCTACACCTGTCGTAATATAAAAAATTGAAATAAACAGATGAAATGATAGCGGGGGAGGGGGTGGGGAAGGGAGGAGTATTTTACCTTCATGTTTATAATAAAATGTAGAGTAACCACAGAGGATCCCAGCACTCACTGGTGCCCACCACTCAACCCTCCTGCGAGGTTTTTTTTTTCTTTTTCGCTTTCGTAAATGATTTTTGCTAAACTTGTATACATACGCTTTTTAATTTATCAACAAGAAACGATAGCAACACATAGTGTTTTGGTTGGCTATAAATCTACCCCCCCCCCCCCTGAGTATAATATACGAGTTTCCACTTATTTTTTTTCGGGGGGGGGGATAGTAATCATTTGTGAACTGTCCCACTACTCCTTTCTAAAATTTTTGAATTCGACACTAATAACTTTACGTTGTAAATTTTTTTTTTCATAATTTACCTAAAATTTTGAGTAAATACTAACAGTGCTTTCGTGTGAATTGAACGATTCTTGTGTCTGTACACAGACTCAGCTTTCCCTCATCGCTAAAAATAAACCGTACTGTATCGTTGATATTTTGCAGATACAGTACAGTTTCTGCTTATTTGCATAAGAAACGCCCACAAAAAGTGTTCTGTATCGCAGTTACAGTATGCTTGACTTCAAAGGAAAACTCGCCGGGTCATGTCACAAGATCAACTATTTTTGTCATTAATTAAGCATATTGTATAACTTAAACACGATGACCACTTGGATTGCTAAGCGATGACAGGTGCCCCAACTGGACAACTGAGAAAAAAAACCATGACGGCACAATTGATTCATGGAAAAACTACGATATGCTCAGAGTTGATTTTGCAAACATACCAATTTGAAAATGTAATAACTTTGTTATAAATGAAGATATTTTTATTCTGTGTTCAGTTTTTGTCGTGATTTTACATGGACAACTTTAATTAAATACACAAAAATCTCAAATTCGATAAATTTTGCCATAAGGTCGATTTCTATCCGACGAGGCTCATATGTAAAGATCAGTAAAGCCCATATTTTAAAAGTGGAAAAAAAATATTTTCTTGTGTGTGTAATTTGTGTGGGATGGTACGTGCATATCATTAAAAAAAAAAAAACAAAAAAGGATGGAATGTCTCGATAGCTGACTTTACAATGCAAGGCTAAAAAAATAATGGAAGGCCCAATGGACTGGGGTCAGTAAATTTTTTTTATCTAGGCTAGTACATTGTTGGGGGCATCTATCTTTTGGGTCAGTTCTATGTATAACAAAATACAATTATAGTTGGGCTAGTAACTTAATTGACAGCTTACCGTTTATCCGGTTTTTTTCGCGTGTCGGACATTTTGCGAAAAAGGGGTAGGTTAGTACAGTTTATATTTTGTGTAAGTTATTTTGTACGATTAAAGATTTTTGTGTATAAAATGGTAATGTTTATGTCACATTATAGCTGACATAATTTCTGCGTGTTTTATATTTTGCGAATTAAAAATGATCGCAAAAAATGCGAAGAATAGATCATTGCGAAAAAAAGACCCAGATATATGTCAAAGTTCTGTCATTTCGGAATCCTGTTTTAAATTGTTCAGATTATTTGTCCAACTGTGTGTCACAATATATAAACAAAATATAACTATTATACATTTATCATGATTATTATCATTATCGTTTTGAAAAAGTCTCTTTTTATTAAAATCTAGTAGCCTAGTGGGATAGTGATATGATGATGAGCTGACCAGTAAAAAGCCTGAGTGAGCAATGAAAGAAAACTTTTTCTAGCCCTACACACCCTTACTAATGTTATTGTGATTTAAATTCAAGACACGTGGTTTAGGTTGATCTATTCAAAGGTTATAGGGTAGAACCGGTTTTATAAATAAAATCGGCAGTAAACATGATATTGCTATAGCCTGTTTCTTTAGAAAAGATGTCCTGTAATAAATGTTTCCAGACCTTTCTGAAAGACTTTCATGATTTTCAACAGAAAAAGGGTGACTAAAGGAGGCCCGGGTGTTAAAATAACAAAATATCTTATACTTTTCGGCGAAAATTAGAGCTCACTAGTGACCGATTCGCTGGTAAAAAAAAAATGTGCATTATCATCTACACTGACAAACCTTTGTTTGCCTTATATGGCTATTGTTATAAATTCGCACAGGGGATCTCACCACGAGCAACTGACCAATCGTTGAATGAATAGCAACGTTTTCGCCAAATACATGTTTACATTTTACTTCGAACACGTAGTTCAGGTCAATCTATGATCATGTTAATGCATGGGCTGCAATATAAAAGAAATGAACAAAATACAAAGATAAAAAACTATGAAAG